TTTTAGGCCTGGAGATACCCTCTCATATTCAGGGATCTACCGATTCTCGTGAGATTACACAATTAAAGAAACAAGTGCTTAGTTATAGGGAGGATAATGAAAGATTGAGCCACCAATTACAAACACTTGTCGGTGTTGTCCTTCCTTTACTTCCACCCGATGCCCGACAAGCATTTCAACAACAACATTCCCAACAAGGATCACAACAACAATCACAACAGAGCAGAGAAGAGCAAGAACAACAATCACAACATCAACTAGCTTTCGTAGAGCAGACCTCAAGATGAACAAGGACATTACTATAATTATTAAGACACTCAAACAATATTGTCATAATATTTATTATAGTACTTCTTTGGATTTGTATGTTTTTAGATATTTCAATGACTACTTGATGCATGCTAATATTAGGATTTGTGTTTGATATCCGAATATGCATTTGGTGCATATAAATATTATGGAATATTGTTAAATTTGATATCTAAATATTTTATGTGTAATATGCATGTAACAGTGTAAAATTTAGTTAAATTGGTGGTGATAAAATTGTATAAATTTACCTAGTGATTTTCCTACCGGATTTACCTATGGATTTTGAATGAGGTAATTACCTACGGATTACGTTCGTAGGTAATTACCCACTGATTCTCGTTCGTAGGTAATTACCCACTGATCGACATTACCTCACGGATAGTAATTCGTAGGAAATTACTTACGACCATATTACCTACTGGATTTTCTACGTAAAAAATCCGTAGGTAAAATGACATTACCTACTGATTTTTGCCATTACCTACGGATTTTTGCCGTAGATAATAGGTTTTTTATGAATATTAGCCCTAAACCCTAAACCATAAACCCTTAATATTAACCGTGCTATATTTTATGAGTATTTTCAATAAAAATATTTTTTTTTACAATAATTAACCACCTAAAATAAAACTTTGATTGTCAATTAGTCGTCTCAGCGTTAAACAATCATCATCCTATTTTAAATGAATGCCTTTTTATTTTATTTCATTTTTCTTTTATTGAATTTAAAGGAGTGAGATTAGCCTATTAAGATTGTATAATTTTGTAAAGTTCAATGTTTTTAGATTCAAGTGAAATAAAATTTTATTTTATATTATAACAATAGATAATGTTTTAAATTTTAAGGTAAATTATGTTAATTACTATTATTTTGAGCATATATTTATATTCAAATTAAGTCCTATTCTAATATGAGTTGTAACAAATCTCATTATATTTAAAATATAATTATTATAATCGTAATATTAATTTTATTAAAAATCAAATAAAATTTTAATTATATACATTAACTTGATTAATTGAAAAGAGCTTAATATGTATGCATTATTAGTGTAAAAAGTTTACATTATACGTTAATTTATATTATTAATAACTTGTACAAATATCACTCTGGAGATGATACTCATGGTTTTTACACCATCATCATATATATACATAATTAAATTCACGATCTTAATGACTCTATATATCATGTATAACATATTTTTTGAAAAGATGTTGAGGTTCTAATCATGATTAATATAACTTGTACTCTGTCACTTTCTTTCTAAACATATTATGTAATTTATTTTTGTACTATGAAGAGAAAAACCAACTAGTGCATAAGGGTATAACTTTGAAGTCACGTTATGCTGTCATATGTTGCTTAGATGATTATGGAATGTCATATATAAATCAATTGTAAATAAATAAAATGGTAGTTAAGTATTCGTGTGTTAATTCATTTAATTTTATTGTTATAGGTTAATTGTAAAGTTTTCACCAACTTTGAGAAACAACTAATTAATAACCATCAAGTTCTTAAGGTCTATAATATCGAAACGCATAGATATATGTGCTCGGATGAAACCTGCTTTGTAGCATAGGATGTGATTAATTAATGGCTTGTGA